ATTTGTGATTACTTAAAGAAGCAAATGATTTTAAAAAATTTTTGTTTGTAAAATATAGTTGTTTTGTTTTTACTTCTTTATTTATTAATTTGCTCTTCAGTTATAAAACAAAAAAAATTATGCTCATAGGACATTTCATATTTACATTTTGCTAACCTTCACCTATTATTAAATTATAATATAACTAAAATCAATTTAATTTTTATAGATATCCATCATTTGCTCAAAAATGAGATCGCAAATGTCATTATTTATTATTGCATTTTTGGCAATAATAATATCAAATGTTACGGCTGACGTACTTCCACAAAATAACTTAATTGTTGGAGAGTTGGGAGATCACGATCAATTGCTTGAGCGAAGAAAAGTGGAAGAGTCATTCTCATTAGGAATAAAAAAAACAATCTCAGAACTGTTTGAAGGCGACAGACAAACAAAAATTACTCACATCCGAGCTCTGGATCAGCATGAAAATGGCCATGGTGCTGTAGCTACAATTAAGAAAGGTGGAATTGGACTGACTTATGTGGAAATTGAGTTTGAAAGCCAACCATTCCGAGGAATTGATTTCATCGTTGAAATTTATGGATCGCGAACATAACAATTGCAGTGCTAAATGAAAAAAAAATATAAAACCTCATCGTTTTTAGCACCAATATCATCTAACTTATTTTACTTATAAGTATCCGTTTTTATTCCTAACATTTTTACTAATTTTAGTGATTTTAAAAATAATAAAATAGAATAACATAATGAAACGAAAATAAAAAACAACCTAGGTTTTTTAATTTAAAGTTAGACGTACTCGTACAAAGATGTACTTGTTGATAGAGACACTATGTCAAGGTTACAAAAATATAAGTTAGCAAGTTAAAACAACAAAACCCTGAATAGAAACTTTAGACAAACTGTAGTTGGTACTGAAGGCATGCGACAGGATACATCTAAAATCTGAAATATATGTACAAAAAATGTAGAGAAATTAGTACTCTAACGTATACACACAAAGTTAGTAATCTAGAAATAAAAGTACAAATAAAGTAACAAATACATAAAAATGAAAGGGATGAACTAAGACAATAATAAATAAAGACAGAAATCTAGAAATAAACATAATTAATTTTAAGAGATAAGATGAAAACAGGCCATCGATAGTGGCACAAAGACAAAGAGCATGGTAGGCATAAATCCTATGTCTGTGCTGTTGTACATTTAAAAAATTTTATTATACAAAGCTATTATTGAGGACTTCAGTTAGGGGTGCCCACCGCACTCATTTACCATAGATATACGTAAAAATGCTTCAAAATCGCTGAGGGCACCCAAGCCTAAGTTCTTGAATGTACTGAAATATTTATGTTTATATTTATAATTAGGCGAATTACAAATAAAAACTTATCACTAGATTTTCAGTCAAAAGTAGTGTGGTACAGGTTTTGATTTACAATTATAGAAACACTATTTTCTACAGTTATTTATGATATAACACCCATTTCTGGAACAATTTATTCTAGAGGAATAAATAATTAAAA